GCGATAATAAGTAAAGATTATAGTAAAGTCATAGAGAGCATGAGAGGTAGAAGAGAGTCAAGTAATGGAGTCAGACACAATTCATGGTAGCATTGCTCACCTCGGCCCTGCTTGGTGCTCCCCGTAGGGGGAACCGGCTACGAGAGCAGGAACAGCCTCAGGGACCGAGAACCGGGGAGACTCCCTTGGCCTGAGAGCCAGAGAGGGCCCCGGGCAGCCAGGACCCGGGAGAGCTCGGGGAGAGCTCCCCTGGGCCCTGGAGCCGGAGAGCCTCAGGAAGCCAGGGCCGGGGAGAGCTTTTTCTTTATTGCTCACCAAGCCTTATATCTCTTCAGGGGGACATGATTACAGAATCACACATCACAGGAAGGGCAGTACAATAGGTATACACATTGTAGGAAGGGGATCTATGATAGGCATAAGCATAACAGGAAGGGGATGAGCTAGGGGTGTGCCCATAGGAATGGGAAGGTCTAGGGGTATACATGTGACAAGATGGGGCGGACCCTAGATCCATGATGGCAGCCTAACCTTGGTCATCCTTGGGCGGGGTTGACCTCTCTGGTGTCTCCTACAAGGAAACAGACAACTACTATCCTTATCAGAAGGGAGTGGGCCCTGCTTGTTGTGGGATAAACAGTGGCGTCTGCTTGCTCTAGATGGCTGATAGCACTTAGGGAGAATGACCCCTAATCCACTCCTGATGACCTCCAAGTGTACAGTCATTCTCAAGCAGCTAAGTCTGGCATATATTTGGGGGAGACAGCTTGAGAGAAATCCTTCTGTTTCCCACAACCACCTGCTTTGCTTCCTCCACAGTCCACCTGATCCCCCTGTCGGCCGCGAGTAAGAATGGAGTTAGTAGCAAGAGTCGAAAGCGAATCATGCCAGCCCCGGTGACAGAGCCCCCTGTGATGGATCCCGTTTATGAAGCTCTTTTGTACTGCAACACCCCGAGCGTGGCCGAGCGCAGCATGGAAGGTAGGCGTGGCATGTGCCCCACGCTGCCCTTGGCAGCCAGGACTGGACACTGGTGGACACCCCTCTGTGGGCTAGTTCTTCTCAAGCAGCAGAATGCAGTGAGGGCTAGGTGGCCTGGGGGCAAATCCGGCAGTTGTCATCTAGGCTGGGCCTTCCCTGAGCCTGGGTGAAGTGGTTGCAGCCAGCCCCAAGGCTGCTGGGAGGATCGAGCAGGTAGGTGCTCAGCCCCGTGCAAGGCCGTGCGAGCCAGTTAGCTTCGGGCCACTCCAGACTCAGAGTAAAGCGGGTGCCTTTCGGAAGCAGGTTGCCATGCCTGTCTTCGGAGGCACTTGTGGATGGGTTCAGACCACCTACCTTTGTTAGTACCTAACTGTTGGCACCACCCAGGCAAGCCTTCCACAGATTCTTACCCGTAGTCAGGCTTTTAGATGGGCCACCAGCCAGATGGGAAAGTGGCCCCAGTGGGCCTTCCCCTTGCCCACCAGGGCTCCCTGCCCTCCCAGGGGTGCAGAGCCTCTGAGGGAAGCCTGTGGGGTCCTGCAGTGAAGGGAGTGGGGACTGCTGGCCAGGGCTTTTTTTTTCTTTTTCTCAGAAATGTATTGAAGAATACGTTGAGCATTTCTATTAAATATTTATTTGCATCCTGTCCTGTTTCATGAAAGACTTAAAAGTCCTGGTCTCAGTGTTTCTGCGGCTCTCCCCTACCCTGTGGATCTGAGGCCATATTAATAGCTCCACCCCCATTTCACTGGCCTCCAGCCCCAGCCATGCTCCCTCCTTGTTGCTGGGGGGCCTGGGACATGACCAGCCCCCTCCTGCTCCTCTGCCCTGCTTCATGAGGTGGAGCAGCCCCTACCCAGCCCAGCCAGGGTCCCTCTCATGGCTGAGCCCCTCCAGGGTGGCTCCATGGCCCCTTGGGGTGGAGGTGAGGGGGCAGGGGGCGGGCACTGCCATTTCACATCCAGATCGGGCGGGGCCAGGTGTTGGCTCTCTACTTTTCTGTCTAGATACTATAATTCACCACAATGGCTTCGCAGAGCTGAGACGATATTTATAATGAAAGGATATATGAAGGAAGGTTGTAATACAAGTGGGAAATGCTCAGGATACAGTGGCTCAGTCAGGATGTTACAAGTTCTTCCCAGGCTGCTAATAAACGCCCAAAGGGCATGCCACTCCGCTGTGAGCCTCAACCCACAGGCCTTCAGCTCCACTCCATGGGCCAGCAAGCCCATCTCCCTGAATTAAGTGCCCAGAGGAACCCTGCTGCAGTAAGCCTCCGTACAAGGCACTCGGCGCTACTTCTTTTTTTAATTAAAAGGTCATTTTATGGGGGGGCTTTTACAGCTCATAACAATCCCTACATCAAAGGTATCAAGCATATTTGTACATGTTGCCATCATTATTTTCTAACCATTTACTTTCTATTGAGCCCTTAGTATCAGCTCCTTTTTTCCCCTCCCCACCCACCTTTGTGACCCCTTGATAAATTATTTTCATGTCTTACACTGACCAACTCATTTCTACTTCTATGAGTTAGCAAGTTCAGCTTCCCCAATTAAGTGCCCGGAGCCGGCCCACTTTGCAAACCAGCCTCCCATACTGAAGCACTCAACTTCCTTGCTGCGTGGGTTGAGAAGTCTGTCACTCTGTTCTACGCTCGCTCGGGCTCCGGGTTCTGCTGCCACTGCAGCTCTGATGTCGCAGCTGCCTTCCGGATCCAGGAGCATCACTGCACAGGGTCTCAGACATGCTCCACTCCTGGCTCTTGCGGGAAGTGAGATTCCCCCTCCTGCTTCTCTGAGGGTTCATTTCATACCCAGCAGGATGATAATTACAGTGAATCTTGCTAACATTGAATCACAGGTGAATCGCATCAGTGCCTCTCCCCGCCCCACCTTCCTACCCAGACTCTTGCAAAGGAAAAGGGTAGTGTTAGGTTTGGGAGTGGTTTACCTCGGTTCTTGCTTCGCAACGCTGAAAGAACTCAAGCAGAGCCACTGTTGTAATCTAAATGACTTATATGAGGGAAACGGAAGTACCAGGTATTAACAGTCTCAAAAAGTACACGCTATTTCTGGAAAGTGTGCAAGGCCACATGGCGGGGGACCGTGGGTAAGGTCGTGAGTGGAAACGGCGTTTCAGGAGGGCGTGGAAAAGCGAGTGGAAGGAATGCCGAAACAGGCGCTCAGAACCCGTGTGCGGAGCCACGGGCAGGGAAAGCCCCAGAGGCCGAGAGCGCAGGCTGGGCCCTGAGCGGGCACGTACGTGGGAGGAATGGCAGCATGCACCCGAACAAGAGAGCGTCGGCTTTGATCCCCTCCCAGCCCACGGCGGGGAGGAGGGGTTGTGGGTATGGGATGACCTTATCGGCTGCGTTTAGGCCCACCTGAGTGATGTAATAGTGATGGTGACTAAGGCGAGTGTGCCCAGGTTGGCTTCACCTGGGCCTAGGGGCTTGGGTCTGAGCATGCTCAGTGCTGGATTTACCCACAGGTGTCTAATTAGTGTGCCTGATTTCTTTCCAGCCCCTTTATTGTAGCACGGACAGCTAATTTTCGTATAGCGCAGGCATTTGGGAAGACAACCCCCCCTTTTGTCCCTAATCTAGCGACCTGTCGGTGGGAGTTAACAGACTTTAGCTGTTAGAGCCACATTAAATAATTCACTGCCCCTACCCCTGGCAAGTTGGATCTGTGCAGCCAGACGGGCTAGCGCCTCGTGCGTGCTGACTGAACCGTGCTTCCCTCTCGCAGGCCACGCCCCGCATCACTTCAGACTGGTCTCCGTGCACGTGCTCATTCGCCATGGGGACAGGTACCCACTGTACGCCATTCCCAGAACGAAGCGGCCAGAAATTGACTGCACTCTGGTGGCCAACAGGTAAACTGCACTTTTCCTCTGTCATTTTCAAGATGCTCTTGAACGCCTGTCCCAGGCCCACCAGGATGATGACAGGCGGGAGGAGTGGCCAGCGCTGGTTAAGCACTTACTGTTTGCCGCCCCGTGCCGGATCTCGGGGCTGCCTTCCGTGTGGATGCCATTTTACAGTCGAGAAGACTGAGGCGCAGAAGGATGGTGTCACCCGCTTAGAGCCACGGAGCGGAGGAGCTAGGTTTGAGCGTACTTCCATCGTCCTCAGCACGTTCACCCAGTGACGCGTCTTCAGTTTGCAGAACAGCTGGGACACAGAGCTGTGAGCGCAGGATTGGGAGACCCCAGCACTTCCATTCAGGACCACTGGGCACCGCCCATACCTTCCTGAGCTCCAGCCTCCTGCCCCTCACAGGGCTGGAGTTGCTCACCCCGAGGGCGTGGGGGGGGTTGGGGGGCGGGGGTTAGAGAGACTTGCATTTCCCACTGCAAAGCCACATAGTTGTAGGCAATTCTTCCAACCTTTTTATTTTCCACGGGAGTGGAGACAGCAGGCTCTTGGTTGAGAACTCTTAGGATGAAAAATAATTGAACAGAGAATGGAAATTGCCTGGCCTTAAAAATCAGAGGCACTTGGCGATAAAAGGATAGGCCAGATCTGAGTGCCTGTGTCTGGGGCACATGACACCCCGGCAGAGTTTCCTAAGCAAGGTCAGGAGACGCAGGAAGGACGTTACTGTGATGGAATGCTTATTGGGGTGCCAGCCTCTCTCCCAGCCAAGCCAGCCAGCTGCAGTTGACCTGGAGGCCACCAGGAACTGCAACGTGGCCCTGGGATTTCTGGTTAACTCTTTGCAGGCATCGACACAGCTTAGCTCACCCTGTAAGAGGGGCTCTACGGGAGGGGTCCCAAACAAACAGGGTAAGATTCAAATAGTTAATCACTGGACCTTGGAGCCCTGGGTGGGCAAATGGTGAGCATGCTTGGCTGCTATCCCAAAGTTCCACCCCGAGGCACCTCAGAAGAAAGGCCTGGTGATTTACTTCCCAAAGAAGTATCCCTGGAAAACCTTATGGAGCCCAGTTGGACTGGACACACACGGGCCCTGCCTTCCATCTGGCCCCTCAGTGGAGGAGGGGAGAAGTGCAGGACGGTATTAGTAGAGGCCCCAGGAGGCCTCTGGGTCCAGGCCTTCTTCCTTTCTCCTTCCTTCCCTGCCGCGCGTGTGGCCCAGGGACCAGACCATGGTCCAGGGCCTCTGCCTGTGCCCTGTATCGGAGCTCCTGTTTGGGAGCCTCGGGGCCGCTGCTCTGGCTCCCTCTGCCCACCTTTCCCTCAGCCTCCGTCTTTTAGGCCTCGTTTTATTGAACATTGTATATTCTTATGAGCTGCTTCCCATCTTTTGCAGGGAAAAGCTGGTTCAATAATGAATGTCACTAAATTAAGTCCCTCTTGGAAAAATAACTAGATGTTGAGGGGGGCTTCTAAACGCACCCTGAGAGCGGGCAGGTATCTCAGTGAAGTGGCTCCACCCTGAGCTGTGGACTGTTGCAAATGTGGGCCACCTCCCAGATGCCATTTCGACTTTATAAATGACTAATCTTATGACCTTCTAGTTCAGTGGTTCTCAGCCTTCCTAATGTTGCAACCCTTTCATACAGTTCCTCTTATTGTGGTGACCCCCCCAACCATAAAATTATTTTCACTGCTACTTCATAACTGTAATTTTGCTATTGTTATGAATCGGGTGATCCCTGTGAAAGGGTCATTCGACCCCCACATTGAGAACCGCGGTTCTAGTTGGTGGTGCATGTTGGAGGGTACTGGAATTCCTCCCGGCCAGGCCAGCAGGCCCGCTGTGGCGGCGGTGCGTTAACGTTCCCACAGAGAAACCCCGCCCGGCTTTCGTGGTTTGGTGGTGGAAGCTGCCTGTCCTTGACTGCCAGGCACCTTATGGCAAAGGCGCTGCTCGCACCTTCAGCATTGCTCTCCAGCTAGCCAGCAGTGAGGCGGGCGCCTGGCTATGCTGCTTGTGGTACACGCTTACTTAAAATATGAACCGAGCCACCTTTTCCAGAAAGAAGGCACACATGGACTTTGCGCAGCATTTCCTCAGTCGTTTCCGTTGTAAACTTCTGTGAGGTCACGGGGTCTGGCACAGGTGGTTGTCATGCGTGGCCGGTCACCAAAAGATTGACAATTCTTGACCCCCCCGAAGCACCTTGGAAGGAATGTCCGGCAATCTGCTTTGAACCCGCAGTTGCTCTCTGACACACAGGGTCACTGTGAGTTTGATGGGCTGACTGGATCTCAGCTGGTTTATCGTGGGCTGGGAATGATGGCCTTTTGAGAATTCGTGGGAACAAAACAAGGCATGTCCTCAGGGGACCCCTCCTCTGTTTCTTTGGGGACAGAGCTGGTACACGGCACCGTCACTGCCAGTTGGCAGGGGTGGTAGCAGTCATATGACAGAAAGGAGATGAGGCGGGTTCCATGTTTTGTGGCTGAGCTAGAAGGCCAGTCTTACTCTGCTTGGGGCAGGAGGGGAGGTCAGGGACAGCCACCCACAGAAAGGGACTTAAAGGGTGCGTGAGGTAGCAGGTGAGGATAAGTGGGCCCTTGGCCATGTGGTCTCCTGGGCACTTCTCAGGCTTGAGCATGCAGACAAGAGGCACGGGAGCCAGTCACGTGCTGCTCGGAGTGGCAGCCAGCACGCGGGCTTCGGCCTGCCGGAGAGAGGGAGCGAGGAAGCGTTTCAAGCTGCTGTGTGAATGGGTGAAAGGAGGCTGCTCTCTGAGGCCTGGGTGTGGAGGGTGGTGGCCTCTTAACACTCCAGAAGAAAGACTTCATTCAGTCAAAGCCCAAGCCCTTGTCGCAGCCAGCAAGGCTTTCTGCGACCTTCAGCCCTCTGCCACCTGCCGGGCCTCCCCTCCCCACTTCCGGTTCCCACGCTGCTTCAGCACACCGCTCCTCCTTCACCTCCACACACTCTTTGCACACGGCTGCCTCAAGCACACCTGTGCACAGTTGCCCCTTGGGAAGGCTGTTGCCCAGGTATCTGTGTTGCTAGAAGTCCATGCTTCCTTCAAGTTTTTCCTCAAATATTAACTTGCTCAGTAAGACTTCTTCCCACTCCTTTCTCCCCCCACGTCTCCTGGACCCGTGTCCTCCTCTTCTTCTGTCAGAGCATGTTACCTTCCGACACCCAGAGACACACACACACACACAGTGTTCGTGTGTGCCGTCTGCTTCCCCAGCTCTCCTGCCAGCTGCCCGAGAGCAGTGGTTTCTATTTATTTTGCCCACTGCTGTCTCTTGACAGCCTACGGCGTGCCTGGCACACGGGAAGAACTACGCACACACTCAAGATGAACGCTATGTACATGGAACCCAAGATGGATGGATGGGTGGGTGAGTGGGTGGATGGATGGAGCTGGAACTCTGAGTGGCAGCCCAGGAGGGGAGGGGAGTGAGTCTGAGGAGAAGTTCTGAGGTAGGTTCGGTAGGACTTGGTGACAGGTCAGAAAGCAATGACTCCCATCAAATAACAGAGGATACGAAAGACAGAGAATTGCACTGGGCTTGGCCCTTTTGAGTTTCATTTCATTTATAAGAATTTAATTGGTATATATGCTGTAAAACCCTGTAGGTGTAATTCCTTCCATTTTGCAGCCATGTAAACAGTTTTTGAATTGTGTTTCCTGAGAAATGTCTTACTGGCCTCAGAGCTCCCTCCCTCTGCTTGTTGGAATGCCCTGAGTCATGGCGTGGATGGTAACACAGCACAGTAACGTTCCTCGGGGTGTGGAGATTCGCCTCTGGGGTCCTGTCCTCCTGCCGTGGCACAAATAGCAGTGAACAGGGGACATGGAGATGCCAGCAGGAAACCAGTACAGGATTTGAAGGCTCGGGAGAGTGGAACCTTTTAGTTCTCTGCATTTTGAGATGGAAGCAGGTCTCTGAAGAGGCTGCCATTATAACATGCTTTTCACCTGGGGTGGGGGTGGAGGGAATCATCCTCGTGGGGAGAATAATATTTACATGAGTTGGGATAACCTTAGACGCTATCATAAAGAGATCCAGGAACGTATTGCCTTAAATAGCCAAGGTGCTGGCTTGTTCCTGGAGGTGACGCGGTTCCACACGGTGCCTTCTGAGTGGTTGCTAGCCCAACCATGGGTGGCTTTTTGGTTTTTTGGCTGCTCATTGAAGTGGTCAGAAAGAAGTCAAGAACTCGGTGGAGGTGGATCTATGGGAGACTCAAACATGGATATAGGGCCCCCACTGTAAACTGTTGCCCTAAGCTCTGATTGCCAAAATGAAGCGCACATGCACGCACGCGCACACACACCCCCATGCAAGTTTCACGAAAACTGAAATACAGTCAGAACCCTCGTGGCAAAGAGGGCAATGAGTTGGGCCACTAAACTGCAAGGTCAGCAGTTCGAAACCACCAGTCACTCTGTTGGGAGAAAAATGAGACTTTCTACTCTCGTAATGCTTTATAGCTTTGAGAATCCCAAGGGGCAATTCAATTCTAGCCTATGGGGGTGTTATCAGTTGGAATCCACTTGATGGCAGTGAGTTTGGGTTTTGTATCAAAGTTATCAAAAAGCAGACAGATGCCCTGAATACGTAGGGCATCTCAGCAAACATGCTCAGTAGTGAACCCCCACTTCTGAAATTGGCAGCAGAGCTTTGTCAGCTGGGCGGACCTTGATGGCCGACAGCCTCCGGCTTGACCACTGATAGCCTGCTGTCGTGGCGGTTCCCATGGAAGCTTCCTTGTCAGCCTGGAAGCTTGCTTTCCCGTGTGCAAACATTCATGTGTTTTAGCTTCAGGCAAAATAATACACCCTCTGTTTTTATGGAAAGAAATGATTCCCGGTGGCAATCTGGGATAATTTTTTAGATGATGACTTCATGCCAGGGTTAGCATTCGCTAATTTTAAAACATGTGTTTTAAAAGATGGAGTTTTTTTCCCCCTTTATTTGATGTTTTTTAAAAAGCCACCATGGCAGCTATTTTAAAAGCACTGCCACAGTAAATTACGCTTGCCATCAGCAGGGGTCTGCATCAGAAGCATTTGTCTCTGCTTCTTTCTTGCTGAATCTTAGGCAGCAGTCGCAAGCTCCTCCATTTGCCCCCCTCTGTGCTGCCAGAAAACATGCACGCATCCCAGACGGCGTCCTGATTCAGAGGCAATGTGTATGCCTCCTTCGGGCATTTCATGATCCAGGGAAATGGTGTATTAGTGACTGGAAGGATGAATTACATCCGAACTTAAATGCATGTTCTTTGTGCCCAAGCTGTAAGGAATGCTTTCATGCCGAACACACAATACGCTGTTGTGAGATGTCCTTGCCACCCCACATGCAGTGAAGTATTGTAGATGCAGAGGGCACTGGCAGCTGGCGCCACCACAAAGAGCAGGTGTCGGCACGCCCAGCCCGCGCACGGCAGTCCCTGAGCGTCAGAGCAGAGCTGTGCTCCACGGGCGTCCATAGCTGATCTCCCAGAGGGAGACCACCAGGACGAACTTCGGCGGTACCTGTGGATAGACTCAGACGTCCAACTTCGGGGTTAGTGGCCAACTGCATTAGCCGCACCATCCAGGGATTCCACGGAGTCTGCAGTGGACAGTGAGGAGCGATAGAGGTCTCGGCTATCTAATGAGTCCCATGAGGTTTCCCAAAGGGCAGGTAAAGCTAGAATTAGGAGCTAGCTTGGTGATGGTTGTGGTAGGTTTCCGTAGGAAGAGGGGCAAGGACAGCAGGCAGATAGGCTTGGAGGCAGCGCTGGGGATCCCTTGGCTCTGTGCGGCCCGAGCACAGTACTGGAGCAGGGAGGGCTGTCAGCGGTGAGCCCTCAAAGTGAGCTGAGGCCAGACAAGACTGACTGGGCTCTGCTTGGATCTTTCTGAGGCAGCCACTGGAAGCACAGCCGTGGGTCAGCGTAGCCTTTCAAATACATCCATCTAACTATGGAGCAGGGACAAGCTAAAGCAGGAGCCCCATTAGAAGCCCGCTCCCAGCCAGGTGGTAAACTGTGGGGCTGAAGAAGAGGGGGATGGGAACGACCAGGAGGAAAAGTTGGCAGGACTGGGAGGTGAATGACACCTGGGGACGGGTGCAGGGTGGCCAGTGTAGGGTGTGCCTGGGTTGGGGGTGCTGCGGGCCATCCTGGCGGTGGCTGATGTTGGAGTTGCATGGTAGAGGCAGCGCCAAATCCCACGGTGCCTAGAGCTATACCAGGGCAGCAGAGGTTCGAGGGTCGAGGTGTAGGTCAGGCAGAGCCTTGCAGAGTTCTATGCCAGGGCCAAGTACTACTGAAATTGGAATTGAAAATGACCCATCAAGGACCTGTTACTGCGGGGGGAGATGAGAAGGCACTGCTGACAATGGTTTGGGCACTGTTCTGTGCTGGCGTGTTCAAGGCGCTGGCTGGGCCCCTCTCATCCAAGGTGGGCCCCTGGGAGCACCCTGACCACTAATCCTCTGTGTTGTCGCCAGGAAACCGTACCATCCGAAACTGGAAGCGTTCGTTAGTCACATGGCAAGAGGATCTGGAGCGTCCTTTGAGAGCCCCTTACACTCCCTGCCTCTTTACCCCAGTCACCCGCTGTGCGAGATGGGCGAGCTCACACAGACAGGTATGTGCCGCTCACTTAACTCACCCACCCCGCGCAAGGGCACCGGGCACTGTGGGCTCACGGGGGTGAATAAAAGGGGGTGACTTAAGCTGATTCCCACCATGGGACCTCGGAGCCCACCATGGTATCTAATTAAGTGTCTGAGTCCCAAAATGAATATTTTTTTGGTTTGTTTTTTACAGCGGTCTATGTTCATGGAAGAGAAACTTGTTACGTGCTGTGGAGTCGGCTCCAACTTATAGTGACCTTATGGGAGAGTCGGAACTGCCCCGCATGGGGCTTCCGATGAAATCTCTATAGATTGCCAGGTCCTTTCTCCCAGGGACCTGCTTATGGGTTTGAACTGCCAACCTTGCCTTTAGCAGCTACACCTTTAACCCCTGCACCACCAGGGCACCTGGGAAGAGACAATTAAGCAACAAAAATAAAATAAAAGAACCATCCTTCTATCAGCCAAAGAAATTGACCTCTAGCGTCTTTTTCCTATACACACACACACACACATGTTACTGAACATACTTTGCAATCTACTTTTTCACATTCAGTGTTTCCTCATTGTCTTAGCAGCTAGCCCTGCTAAAACAGAAATGCCCCCGAGTGGGTGGATTTAATATGCCAAAAGGCACTTTGTCACCGTCTCAGAGGCTGGACACCTGAGCTCAGGGCCCTGGCTCGAGGGGCAGCCTTCTCCCTCCCTCTAGAAGGTCCTTGTCTCTTCAGCTCCTGCTCCGTGGGTCCTTGGCGGCCCTCGGGTGGCATGGCATTTGCCTTCCCTGGCTGCGCCGTCTCACTCCTGAGTCCGATCTCCGTTTTTCTCTCAAGAGGTTGATTTAAGGCGCACCGTTCATTAACAGTGCAAAGAAGATCCACTCCCAAATGGGATTATAGCCGCAGGTAGAATTGGGGTTAGCATTTATTACGCGCACATCTTTTCGGGGAACATGATTCAAGGCGCAGCACATACAGGTTCTTTCCTTTCCCTTTAAATCGAGGAGATTGAGCATCCTGTCTTCACGTTGTCTTCAATGATCTATCTGGGTAATGGTTTCAGATGAGTTCAGAGCCTCTTTCCTGCCGGATGGAGCCTGTGTCCATAGGGCTGAGGGTGCCGGGTGGGCAGAGGAGGAAAGATGGGACTGTGTAGGGCACGAAGCAGCAGTGAGGGTGCTGAATGAGCCTCCTTTCTCTGCCTAGAGGGGTGCCCTGGGCTCTGCACTCCTGCACACTGAGCCTGCTGTGTCCCTACAGAGGAGGGACAAATGTGTCCCTAGGCAAGTGCAGCCAGGACATCCGTCCACTGGGTGACTCCCACTCTCTGAAGCTGCCCAACACTGCCTTCCCCAAAGAAGGAGCCAGTCATGAGGGAGGGCGGGGGAGGCAGATGGTCTTTGGTTTGTTCCTAGAAATATGCACACACACACCCCACCCCTCCCCATGGTATGCCCATGAAGAGGCTGTCTTCACAACTTCCATATACTGGGGGGATGAGTTCAAGTCCATGGTCTCACACCCTCTGACCCAGCCCAGGGTAGGCCCTGACTCAGCTTGGCTTTGCTGCTAATAAGGAGAGCTCTGTGCCCCCTCTCCCCCCCTGTGTTTCAGGAGTCGTGCAGCATCTGCAGAATGGTCAGCTCCTGAGAGACATCTATCTAAAGAAACATAAACTCTTGCCAAGCGAGTGGTCCGAGGACCACCTCTACCTTGAGACCACTGGGAAAAGTCGGACTCTGCAAAGTGGCCTGGCCTTGCTTTACGGCTTTCTCCCAGATTTTGACTGGACGAAAGTGTTTTTCAGGCACCAGCCAAGTGCCCTGTTCTGCTCAGGCAGCTGCTACTGCCCAGTGAGAAATCAGTACCTGGAAAAGGAGCAGCGCCGTCAGTACCTCCTGCGTCTGAAGAACAGCCAGCTGGAGAGGACGTACGGGGAGATGGCCAAGGTCGTGGACGTTCCCACCAAGCAGCTGCGAGCCGCAAACCCCATAGACTCCTTGCTCTGCCACTTCTGCCACAACGTCAGCTTCCCTTGCACCCGGAGCGGCTGCATCGACATGGAGCACTTCAAGGTGCTCAGGACACATCAGCTAGAGGATGAGAGAGAGAGGCGGGAGAAGAAACTGTATCTTGGGTACGCCCTGCTGGGCGCCCACCCCATCCTGAACCAAACCATCAGCCGGATGCAGCGGGCTGCGGAAGGCAGGGAAGAAGAGATCTTTGCCCTCTACTCAGCCCACGATGTCACTCTGTCCCCTGTTCTTAGTGCCTTGGGTCTGACGGGAGCCCGGTTCCCACGGTTTGCTGCCCGGCTGATCTTTGAGCTCTGGCAGGACAGAGAAAAGCCCAGCGAGCATTTCGTCCGGATTCTGTACAATGGCATGGACGTCACGTTCCACACTTCTTTTTGCCAGGATCACCACAAGCGTCCTCACAAGCCTATGTGCCCCCTCGAAAACCTAGTCCACTTTGTCAGAAGGGACATGTTTGCCGCCCTGGGTAGTGGCAGCACTAATTACTATGATGCGTGTCACAAGGAAGAATTCTGAAAGGCACACAGCACGGTGCTTGTGAAACTCTCCGCGGAAGCAGGACCGTACCTTTCTCGTCCTTTCTGTGGCTTGGGAACACGATGCTGGTTTTTAAAGGCTAGAAGTCCTGTTTGGGGGCCAGATAGATGGTTTGGGGTGGAGAGTCACTGGGCTGCTGTAATCTGATACTTGAGTTACTTGGTACACAATTCCCATTTCATAGAGCTAGGAAGGTACTTTACCATCGTCAGACTGTGCTTTGAAAGCCCAAAGATGCCAATCCAAATTTATATTCTTTTGGCCTCCTGTGGTACAGAGGATGGAACCAGCAAACCTCAGCCAACATCCCCTTAAGCCTGGACACTCTTACTTTGTCCGCGGTCAGTAAAAAAATGTCCTGCAGTGATTTATCCAAAACCAAGATTGGCAAACTTTCTCTGTAAAGGGGCAGTTAGCGATCATTATAAACTCGGCGGACAGGGAGGCCTCATGCCGCCCCAGCAACTGCTGGTGTTGGGCATGAGCAGCCTTCGACAGCATGTGCACACAGGAGCCGGGCTGTGCTCCTGCCCTTGTCAGGGACCTTTAAGTTGGCTCCGTCCCACAGCGACCCTGTGTGCAGTAGGACAGAGCACCGCTGGGCCTGGGCCAGCATCAAACGTGTTACGTCCGATAGGATATTGTCGGCCTCTGTGTCACTCTGGCTTGTTGAGGCTCTTCTGATGCCCTCGGCTTTCCAAAGCATGATGACCTTCTGGGGACTGGGCTCTCCTGACAAATGTCCGAAGTACAGGGGTCAAGGTCCTGCCGTCGTTCCCTCTAAGGACCGTTTGAGCTGTACTCCTTCCGAGGCAGACCTGTTTGTTCTTTGGTAGTCCGTGGCACCACACTTCCAGTGCATCCATTCTTCTGTCTTCCCGGTGCCCACCTTTCACATGCATATGCCGTAATTGAAAACACCATGGCGTGGGGCAGGCACACCTTAGTTTTCAAAGTAGCATCCTTGCTTTTCAGTGCTCTAAAGAGGTCTTGTGCAGCAGCTTTACCTAATGCAGTGTGTCTTTTGATTTCTTGTCTGCTGCTTCTACGAGCATTAATTGTGGATCCCAGCAAGATGAAACCTTTGACAGCTTCAGTCTTTCACCCATTTATCGTATTCCTTACTGGTTCAATTGTGAGGATCGGGGTTTTCTTTAGCTTGAGTTGTTATCCGTACTGAAGGCTGCAATCCTCGATCTTTACCAGCAAGTGCTTCAAGTCCTCCTCAGCAAGCAAGGTTGGGGCACCTGCAGACCGCAAGTGGTTAATGCTGTGCTCACAGATGGGATGAAAGAGGTGGCAGCAGATTTGGCCCTGATCTACTTAGAGTTGCACAGTCGGCACTTTGAGAACCAGTGGGATCCTGAGAGCTAGTCACCAGAGGCCCCTCCGATAACATCCCCTTAGAAATGCATTTGGTTGGTGTATTAGTCTGGGTACTTTGGAGAAACAAATCCACAGCAACTCATATATAAGAGAGTTTTATGTAAAGAAAAGGTGCATCACGAAAACATCCCAACCCAATGCTGCCCAAGCCCACAAGTCCAACATTAACCCATTAACCCAACACCAGTCCACAAAGTCCTCCACCTCACAAAACAGAGGCTATGATGCCGACTGCAGGAGGAAAGCTGAGTCAGTGAACAAACAAGCATCTCAGCACTGGCAGGGATCTCCACACGGCTGCTCCAGCACCCAGGGCTGCATCGGGATAGGTCCATGTAGCTTCTCCTTGGGGATGTCTTGTAGGAAGTCAGTCTTGCAAGCTGAAGCAGGGAACTGCTAAGGCAGCTGCACCCGGTGCAACCATCACAAAACAAGAGACCCGAGAACTAGCAAGGCGAGGCTCACCACCCATTTATCCCTCTGCCTTTCAATTAGCCCCACATGTGATTATCTGCCAGGCTGGCACAATCAACTAACTCAGTTGGTAGCTGATGTTGTAACAAAATTTGAAAATAAAGATTGCATTGGAGAAAAGCTATTAGAATAATACTTGATGTTCATGATGACCATGGTACAAAGATCATTTGAAGTGTGATTTAGATATTTGTCTTCTAGTCTACTTGATGAATATGCCGAGATTTTTGTATTCCACTTGGTATTTTTATAGTCTAGGAAAGGATTTTCTAAGGCCAGTTTTAGATGTGCAGTAAAGATTCTATTTCCTGTACCTGTTTGGGAGTGGCCAGGGGGCCAGAAGCTGAATTGGGGCACTCTCTCCCAATAAACAAGCCCTTTGATAAGCCGTAGAATTGGATCAATTTTTAAGCCATTTTCATCGGTTATACAGTGTAAATTCTGGTTGATTTTTAAATAAGGTTTTGGAAGTACTTTGCTACTGGATAGTTCTATCATCTTTATATAAGGTATTTTATATATTAGAAGCAACTACAGTTAAATCTGTGATTTCAGGACTCATGGTGCCAGTTGTCTGTGAAGTGTGCGTGCCAGTCAGGCCCTCCGCTGCGTGGGCCTTCATTCCCCACTTTGCCTCTTGTTTAGCTCAGTGTTGCACTGTTTCGATTAATAAACCTTTGAAGAATACTGCTGCTCAACTACTTAATGGTTTATGACTACAAATCACTCCAGCTCTCTACAAGAGTCAATATTTTTGAAGTTTCTCTTAATTGCTTCTTTTCGTGTTCAAAATAATATCACACTAGTATTTTATAAGCCCAATTTTTTTTGTTTTTTGTATTGCTCCCCCTCATAATATATCTGAATTAGAACTACTAAGTCCAGCCTGAAGATTTACAAATAAAAGTGAGTCAGAAGATTTAATTAAAATTTTTAAAAAAACAAATCATAACATCTTGCAAAAGTAAACATGTTGGGTCACTGGAGTAAAGACATAGGTTTCGCCTCCCCCGATGTGAGATTTGCACAGCATTGACATTAGCTTTCTTAGCACTGAGTTTCAGAGACTTTTCCTCCAGGGAATGAGCACTGAGCCGGGCTTAATGGGCATGGGTCATCTGGGTTTCTGGGCAATGAGGACAAGCGTGGGTGTGCACAGATGTTTTCCGCTTCCTGTTGTTTCTGGTTCCAGTTAACCCATGCCCACTGCAAAAGAACCGCGTCAGGAGTGTGACTCCCCGTTACTCCACACGCTGTGGCTCCTGACAGCCGTGACAAATACTGCCCTGGACATTCTCCGTGCACCTGCTGACGATGTGTACATTTCTTAAGCCCAATTGGTTTTATTTGTTTGTTTCTAAGAGCAACCGGGCCCTCTTCTATATATTGTTCTGTGATTTGCTTCCCTTTACAGACTATGAGGGGGCTTCAAAAGGTTCATGGGGGGGATTCCATTATTGTTTCCTTTAACACAGAGGTGGGGTACCCAGTTTCTGCCAAGGGCCATTTGTATATTTATAGCATCATTCGAGAGTCATACCAGTCAAGCATTAAATCAACTCACCCCCGAGATGAGGCTTTCTACTTCTGTGAAGAGCTACAGTCCCAGAGATGCACAGGCTGTTCTACCCTGTCCTGTAGCGTCACTGTGAGTTGGCATCGACTCCGTGGCAGTGGGTTTGGTTTGGGTGTGTAATGTCGGGAACTGCTTCTCTTTGGTGAGGGATGGTGATGTTTGCTAGTATCAGTGATTTCTCAGGCCATATCACTAATATGTAGGGGCCCTGGTGGTATAGTGGTTCCATATTGGGCTGAGATTCACATGGTTGGCAGTTCAAAACCACGAGCGCCTCCTCTAAGAGAAAGGCAAGGCTTTCTACTCCTGTGAACAGTTACAGTTAGCAGAGATCCACAAGGGCTCCCTGAGGAATCAGCATCAACTTACTGCAGTGAGTCTGGATTTTGGTTTAGGGTTGTAGTGGTTATGTGTTGGGCTGCAGCCGAAAGGTCAGTAGTTTGAAACCATCAGCCTCTCCATGGAAGAAAGATGAGGTTTTGTACCCCCACAAATAGTTCCAGTCTTGGAAACTCACAAGGCAGTTCTACTCTGTAGTATGGGGTCGCCATGAGACAGCATCAGCTGGACGGCAGTGGGTTTGGATTTCATTTAACACCAGTATGGCTCAGGGGCCAGAGTTCCCCACCCCTGCCTTAACAGTCTGCATTAGAAGGTTTTCTCACTTATTTGCTTCTCTTAACTGTATTTCTTGGAGATCGTTCCATGTTGCTATGTAGAGATGGTTCTATTTTTAGCCACTGCATAATTTGTGGTGTGGATGTTTTGAAAACCTCATTAAAAATGCATGGAATAGAAAGTTCAAGTCAATGTGCTGGAGTAGGGCCGCAAGAAGCTTCGGCTAACCGGAACAAAGCAGACAGACAGCAGTCGCAGCTGCCGATTCTCCAATGGCGCAGTTTATTAACCCTTTCGCAGTGTAGTGTCGCTGTAGTCGTGTTCCGTGTACTCCAGAGCAGAGCTGGACAGCTCGATCTACTATTGCTACGTCACCTCCCCGAGAGTCTTTCCAATGACAGCAGCATTGGATGTTCTGAAAGGTCTGGGTGACCCCTCTTTCTAGAACTCTCACAGGTCAGTGCAGGAGAGCCATGCCCACATAGCAGTTCTGCCTCGTGGGTGTAGCGCAGGGTGGCACAGCGGCAGAAAGCTCCTGGATTCACACTGCAATGCTGGCTCTTCTGGCCTGGGTATTAGTTAGCTGCCATTGTGTGAGGCCACCAAACCGAATGCTTGGCATGCACCCCTGCGTGCGCGTGCCTGCCCGGGAGCCAGCGCGGATGAGTAATCATCCACTCCACCGAAAGAGCTACAGTCCCAGAGACGCACAGGGGCTGTGCTACCCTGCCCGATGGGGCCACTATGAAGTGGCGTGGACTTGCTGGCAGTGAGTTTTGGTTTTGAGTGAGATTCCAGGTTTCATTGCCTGCTCACACGAGCCCCCAAGATACCATGTTTGCTAGTGAGTAATACAGACGTTATGATATATCCTTGTTCTACAGAGAAAATTTCGAGAGGGGAAAAATTTTTTTTACATTTTTTTAAAATTAGGAGTTAATACATACATATATCATTCCATAATTCAATCACATCAAGCAGTGTTGTACAATTGCTACCACAGTCAGTTTCCAAGCATTCGTTTCCTTATGGACTCTTGACATCGTCTCTCTTTTACCCACCCACCCACCAGCCCTACTCCTACTCTACTCCCCCTCCCACTCCCAAAACCCTTATTGTACTTGTTGTCCCTATAGGTTCATCAATCCTGGGTTTCATCAGTATATAAGGAAAAACACATAACCCACATTCAAGAGCGTGATCCCCCATGACAACAGATCTGCAGTTAACCCTGATGTGAGCAAGCAAGAACAAAACACAGAAGCGTTGAAACCAGATCAGGTCCAGCGTGCATCAGAGGGGGATCAACTGACACAGTTCGAACTGTTCAAGTCGGTTTATCCCTTTGACCTTCTGTCCTCATCCCTCTACTGCACTCTGTTTGCTAGCCCCGTTCCTCCCATCCTTCTCTTCTGGGTAGAGGGAGATCACCGGAGGCATATTTCCTGTGTATTTCCCACAGCTGTATCTTGGGCTCCCACTGTCATCCACAGCCTTCTGCAAACTGGATTCTCACACTTTAGGCTCTGATACTAATCCCTCCTTCGGGTTTGGATTATATGCTTCGCAATCCTCTGCTGATTGATGATGGTGTGCTTCTTCCATGTAGAGTTCATTGATATCTCACTTAGATGGCTGCTTGTTTGGACCCTTTAAGCCTTTAAGACCCCATAGGCTAGTTTATCTGATAGCCGGGCACCATCTAATTTCTTCGCCACATTTTTGCAATAGCACCCATATCTTCTGGGTTCCCTTCCTGAGGGCAAGTATCAAGCAGGGCCATGATGAAAGAACTAATTGTTTTCACATTGGAGTTAGGATTTAGTTAGCGTGCCAAACCCATTCCTGGAACTGTGGGGTTTAGTTTAGTTTTGTTCAATCTGCCTGTGGCTCCCTTTCTAAACCTCCTAGTTAATTCATGGTAGAGGCTTATCAATCATCCCCTGAGGGCATAACAATCCTCCATTAGTATTGTCTTTGTTAGCCCCTGGTACTAATTTTTAAAAGCCCTGTTGAGAGGGGGACATTGGGCCAAGGTGGGCCAACTCCATATCGCAACACCTGAATCACTCACTTTTACAGAATCCTTTGTGGCTGGACGCTAGTTACACAAACAATGTGGGCTTAATTGCCAGGGAAATTTATAATAATAATTACTGAGACTATCAGTCACGGGTTTGCCAGAATACATATCTTAATACAGCATATAGAGCATTGAAAAATATGGAACCTTTCACGAATTTGCATGTCCTTCTTGCTCAGGGGCCATGCTAATCTTCTGTCATTCCAAGTCTAGTATGTGTGCTGTCGAAGCGAGCATAAGGGGAAAATGTAAGGGCTTTTTCATCAAAATATTCAGAAGGCCTCAAAGGAGAACACCGTGTTGATGTTAGGCGCTGTCTGGTCGGTTCCAATTCAAAGCGATCCTATGTACAACAGGCACACACACACACACACACACACACCCATATAAACACTATGTACAAGGATACAATATAAACTTACGGATTTTGAATATGAGCTAAAAAATACTCAACTGACCCCAAAGAAATGTGTGTGTGTTCACATAAGTAAAAGTTATTTATGTGGGGGCTTCAAAATATATGTGGAGAGAAATGGAATGAAAAGATATGGACCTTTCCCATGACCTCTTTGGAGCCCTCTTGTA